GCTGGCAGAAGTGGCAGAGTACCAGCCGAGCAAAGGCAGGCTAAGCAAGTGTGAAGCTCTGAGTTCAAACTCTGGTACTAACCAAACAATTAAAGAAAAAGTGAAAGAAAGAAAGAGAGAGAGAGAGAGACGAAGGAAGGAAGAAAAAGGAAAAAGAAATCCTGCCCTATTTAATCTTACTTTGAAGTAACATTTCTGTGTATTTCCTCTGGGTCAAGAATGTGTGTGAATAAATATATGTATATATATATATTAATTTATAATACAACTTGAACTTTATTTTGTATTATTGACTTTACTCATTTTTGCTTTTCAGGCCTATGTTATAGTTATTCCACATGCGTGTTCCGAACTTTGGCATGCCTAAGATATTTCTCAGTCTTCTAGACTTCCTGCAAATCTCGGAGGAAAGCAGTCTATTTGAGCCCCTCTCCCTCAGGCTTCTTGGCTGCTTTCACCTCCTTTTCTTCCATTATGGCAAGTCACTTCTTCCTGAGGAGCTGCTCTGATAGCAGAGCAGAAGGATTATGGTATATCGTATACACTCCTGACCACTCAGCAGCCTCTTCTTCAATCATGCAGGCTCTAAGGTGATAGGCGTATCTGCAGGACCATTACAATAATAAACAAATATCCATTGCAAGATAACATTATTTACAAATGAGTGTGTCTATGTGAGGGACAAGATATTAGTGTTTTTATAATCATATTATATCTAAAATTAATTGGAGTAGATCAAATAGGCTACACAAAGAGAAGCTACTTAAGGGGTTAACAGTACACATGTATAGTTTTCTGTCATGAGAAAGGTAAAAAAGAGGGCTGGAGATATGGCTCTAGTGATACAGTGCCTGCCCAGCAAGCATAAAGTCCTCTGGTCAATCCTCAGTATAACAATTACATAAAAAGGTAGAAAAAAAAACATTAACATTAACTTTCTTTCTTTCTTTTTTTTTTTTTAAAGTTGATGTTAGGTGAAATGAACCCCAAGATAAGTTTTCAGATGTTTTCTTCTTTTTTGCGATTGTTTCTAACATTAGCTTTCTGATTTGTCTGTTCTCTTGATAGCTCTCCCCCTCTCAAATATATCTGTTACGTTATATACCATTATCTAGATTTATAAAACACAGGCTTTGATTTCAAAATACTGTCTCATTTAAAACCTTTGTCAGATCGCATTACCTACCTTACACTCACAATTTCTTAACCTAATGCACAGGTTCCTTGAAACTATGTTCCATGCTGCTCTTTTGTATCTATCTGTTCCTTCATCTACAGGGACTCAGTGTTCCAGTTGAGAATGACAAAGGGCCAGAGAGACTCTGATGCAGCTGCTGCCACTCCTCCATGACTTTGCTCTTCCTGTGCCCACTAACAAGGACACTCTGTGCTTGCCTCTCACTTGAGCTCCTACCTGTAACCAGCTCAAAGGCCTCTCCTTTGGAAGATGTCTCTAGCCAGGACTCACAGTTCCCTTCCTTCTGTTCCCCCGAGCTTTTGACTCAGATAAGTCGAGAACTCATCACACTGATTTACTTTGTCTAGGACTTTTTCTTCTACTCCATGAAATCTACGAAGAGCAAGGCAATAGTGTGTTTATCCTTGTAGCCTTCAGGGATTAACATGGAGAATGTCAGATACTCAGTGATTCATTTTTATCTATGAATGACATTCTTTCACAGAAAGACCATTTTGTAGTGCTGTAAGAAAGAACTGCTCTCATCATGATTATTCAAAAGGCTGCTGCTACTGCTGCTATGTGTAAGTCACAGAAGGGACTCTAAAGGACACTAAAAGAGTCCCTTCTATTAGAGTAAACTAAAGTTTACTAGTAAACTAATTTAGTTTACTATCTTTTTGATCTATCCATTCCAGAGCTGTTCAGTTCTTAGGAAATTGTTTCAATCTATCCCAATCTCTTAGGACATCTCTTAGATATCAGAAAATAATTACTAAATTGTCCATCAGCTTTCTTTGTGTGAGAGCTCTTTAATTCATTTATTAATCATTCCTCAGTTCTCACTCTTTCAATCTTCCTGTCGGTTGGTCAGCAATTTGTGACAATTGACAGGCAATTGTGTTGGGCACATAGTACTAAATTTAAGTTCCCCTCATAGTCTTAGAGACCTGGAGGCAGGAAAAAATACAGATGTAGCATGAACTACAGATAGAAAACATACATAGCAGGAAAGAAGTTTCATGGAAAGATGATCAGAGCACAGCTCTAAGGAAAACCGAATAAAACAAAGGAGTGCCTAGAGCAAGCAGAGTAGTACAATGGCTTGTACATTTCCTTGTAAACCATGGGATTCTTGCTTCCTAAGTCTGACAGAGGCAATGAGTTGTCTAACCGAACATCATCATTATTATTAAACTGCTGTAGAACAAACATAAGACCTTAGACATAGTAGGCAAAGAACTCTGCTACTACTGAGAAATATTTCCAGTCCCCATCCACAGTCTTACATGATCTGAGTGGTCTTCATCACCTCAGAATTCTTTTGAAATAAAATAAAATCTTTTCTAAGGAGATGGATTTAGGAGGTGGGATTTCTGGGACATGATTAACTCATAAGGGTGGACCCCTTATGTATGAGGTTAGTGCCTTACAACACTGGCCCAAGATAAGCCAGCAACTTATTCACCAGCACTGGCTATAGCTAGACTTCTACTATGAGAAAAATCAACTTCTGCCATGTCTAAGGCACAGTTATCTTGACTTTTCTGAACTTAACTATTAACTGACAAACTACTATTGGCTCAATGAGTTGAAGATGCAGAACAAGACTACTTGGCACAGTATAAAGATTCAACAGAAAGATAAGAATACCTCGTTCTGCACAATTGTTGAATTTATGAAAAATAAAGTTGGAAGCATTTTTAATTCAACCAGAGAAAAGAATTCACTGATAGAAAAAGTTAAGATTTGGGTATTAACATGTAGACACTAACAACTAGATGTATCTTAGGGAAGTCACTTAAGCTCTCTGGATATTAGTGAAACAAGAATGCTATTACGTGAAGTGTAGAGGTTCTTCTACCATTACAATTCCGTGGATATAGCGATACATTCGCTTTAAAGGATATTTTATTGTAGTTTTTCAATTTGCTTTCTATGTTAGTTACCGTTCTTTTCTATCTGGTTGTAAGACTAGTGATGCTTATACAAGAACAGGTCCAGCAACCCAAATACCTCTCTTTTCTTGCACTTCCCCAGTAGCCTTTTCACAAGATCTCTTACAATGCTGGGTGTATGCCTCTTCCTCTGTAGGTTAGAAGCTTCTAGGATGCAGAAAACTAATCTCCCTGGTGGCATGTGGTGGCCTGACTATACAGGAGGTGACGAATAAATGTTTTTTTGTAGAGATGAATAAGAGGAAGAGTTGTATAAAAAAGCTTGATTCTAGAAGAAAAGTTGATGTATAGCTTGACATATGATTTCTTTTTTCGAATAATCTAGATTAGGATTGGATTGATTTGTGGAATATTCATTCACCACCACATTTTTAGGAATTCTGGGTAATATCTATGTGTAAGGTTTCGTTTTTTTTTAGCTTTTAGGTTATAGCTTGATTAATTTAGCCATGAATAAACAGGCTAAAAGCTTTTGTTTGTCTCTGAATCATGCACTAAAACCCTCACTTATTTCTGGGAGACCAGCAAGAGGATGTAGGAAGCCTAAAGGTTAGAGGAACTCTTAGAGGGAACCCCTACTTTAAGCTCTCCTCTTACTGGGGTTAAGCCAGAGACCCAGAGAAGATACCCTGTAACAAGACTTCCTCAAAACTAGATTTTTTTTTTTTTTGGAAGTGGCGCTGAAGCTCAAGTGGTAGAGCGCTCGCCTTGAGCTGAAGAGCTGAGGGACAGCGCCCAGGCCTAGAGTTCAAACCCCACGACCAACCAAAAAAAAAAAAAAAAACAGCTAGATTTTTTTTTAAAAGGTGTCTTTTTCAGTTCCAGCTCCGTACAGGAAATATCAGGCTGATAGCAGAGACAATTACTGATAGCCAGAAGTCCCTGGCCTCTGGGGCCAAAACAGACTTATGCTATAGCACGCTAAAATCATGGGGTCCCACAGCTAAACCACTTCACAACTATTCCTATTTTTTTTTTCCGTGCCATCCATGGAAATTCTAACACTGCAATGAGGGAGGTGAGGAAGACAGACAGAATGACTCTTCAGTTTGGGGTTTGGGTTGTAAATGAGTCCAATGTTAAAATTTCACGTTTTAGGTCATTTCCCTTCTTCTTTCTCCCATTTCCCAACCTGGTATCAATGCTTGAACTCAGAACATTACACTCTTCCTGGGCTTGCTTATTCGCAGCTGGCGCTCTGCCACTAGAGTCATGCCTCCAGCCCAACTTTTTGCTGGTCCATTGGAGCTGACATCTCATGCACATTTTGCCTAGGCTGTCTTCAAATGTCTGTTCTCCAGATCTCAGCCTTCTGAGTAGCTAGGATGACAGGCAGGAGCCATCAGCTCCCACTGTTATTTTTTTCTTGGTGGTACAATGAGCCACCACAGGCAGAGACAGGCCTTTGTGGCTGGGGGGGCCTGGTAACCCTAGGGGCCACTCCATTTCTCTGCTGTTTTAGATGCCATCTGAACTAGTGTACCCACTCTCCTCTAACACCTTCCCAAGGAAAAGCAATGAAGAAAAATGACAAAGGGCTCATGGCTTTAATTCCAGGCATGGACTCTGCTGTACCACTGCCTTCTTCCCTGGTGGCTTGCCACTTCTCAGTGGGCACCAGAGTAGTTCTTGCCTGACAGATATTCTAACAGACATGTCCAAAATCCAGCATCTTGGGGCCCTTTGAGAAGACCCCGGAGTGGTCTGAGTATGTTTGATCCATGCCTCTGTCATCAAGAGTCACATCAAACATCAAGCATTTGTAAACAGAAACATTAGAAGTTAAAATTAAAGAACCACATTGAATAAGTAGATTGAGTATACAGATGTCAGTGAAGGGAAAACACATTAGTAAAGAGCCATACCGCAATACCCCGGGGTTCCACAAACTGTCTTCATGAGTACTTGGTGTTCCACGATTTTAGAGAGTCCAAAGTCAGCTGTGATCACAAGAGAAGAATTTAGTGAAGCAAGTCTTTCCTCAGCTTTTATAAATACTTCTGACTTTCACAATTAAGCTCACTTATTTGTTTGCTTTTGTATTTGATGGAGGAGGGTGGCTATGGGAAGTGACAGGACACCTGAGAGGAAGCTGAAGTAACTCAAGCATTTCTTTAAAGTGGAGGAGAAAAATATGATTCCCAAGTACATTTCAAGATGAGTTTATATTTAATCATTGCTATTTCCCCCGATATTAGTAGACAGAGGTACTCTTTCTTTTTTAAAAAAATAATTTTTTATTGAGATTAAGTGATGACATAAATTTCACAGTACTGTGGGATAGTGATACTTAAAGTCACAAACACATTTAACCTTCACAAGGCAAACTGTTAATCATGGTCTATAAAGTTTGTGAATTTTATAAACTTTGACAGTACAATTATTTCTTCCAAATCAGGTGATATGCACATTTATTTCCTTTTGTTTAGTTTAAGCTGTTGCCTCTTTCCTGCTCATTCCCTAGCTCCCATAGCTTCCCTTTAGTTGCTTAGTTCATTTTCATCCATGTCCAGTGCAGCTAATGGGCCCCTCTGTTGTATTTTTCTGCTGTTTTCTTCTGATTCTGTGACCTCCTGCTAGCTCAGATGAGGTACTCTTTCTTAAAGTCATGATTACAATAGCCATGCTTTGTCTGAAGTTATTAATTCTGACATTCATATGACAATAAGTCAGTGTAAGGAGCACTATGACTTAGTGACATAACTTAAGATCTTTTATTCACTGGTAGAAAGAAAAAAAATTACATTTTCCATGAATAGCATGGAAATAAACAGGTGTGGAAAGGCTTATTCTGGCTGAATGGAAATAATATATTTGACAGATAGGATGTTTATACTTATGGGATGAATGTAAGACCTTTTTGGGGGGAGCAAAAGGTCATTTTTATTGATTCCTTTGAGGTGAATTACCTATGTAAAATATTATCCAAGTTGCTACTGTTGTGATCTATTGCTGGAAACATCAGGAAACTGCTCAAGGCCATTCTTCAAGAGAGGTAGGTGCAGAATGAATTCATTTTAGACTTCAAAGATGAACCTACATTTCCACAAGGTGCCTGATCCTTATCAGCAGAAGCAGCAGGCTACCCTTCAGAAAGCAAGGCTCTTCTACCTAAATTAGTATCTATCCATCCATTTAAAGAAATTTCTTTAAGGATCAAGTCTTTGAAAGTGATGTCAAAGGAAATTGAAACTCCCCGCTGTCCACAGCCTTTCAGAAGTGATTATGAGAACAAGCCAGCTTCCCAGCAGGATTCTTAGGCTTTTTTTCCCCCTTCAGATTCTCGCATTCATAAAGCACATTCTGTTGTCTGAGCTCTTCCTTTACAGAACAACTTAATTCTCCAAGGTGTTAGCGCTTTTAAATGCAGTGAGCACATCAGCTTAACATGATGAAAGCACTAGAGCAATGCACTTGAGAGGATTTAACATGCATTCTGCCAAGGATGGAATTTCATTCATTTAAAATGATTAAACTGGAAATGAATAATTGACCTGGAAGTATATAGAAGGTACACTATGTACTTAATATATTTTTCTCCCAAGATGCTGATTTTAGGTTTTCTTTGAGTTGATTAGAATTCCCCAAAGTTCATATTAGTCATTTTTCAAATTGCTTCTTGAGGGAGCGGAATAAAAGAGGTTTTCAGAGTCAATAGATTTTTTTTAGAAAAAAAAAACCCAACTTTGTGGTATACAAGATGACATGTATCTGTACAGGAATAATTTTTAAAGTTCTGGGAAATCTTGCAGGAATTGAAATTTTGTTTAATTTTTATAATTGCATTTCTTAATTGATTATAATTGCATTTCTTAATTAATAGTACCTCTGAAAGCCATTCACAACCCTTACCACCCCCCCAAAAAAGGAATTATTCATGGTTAACAAGAAAGCAATGCCCTTAGAGATCACTTTTTGGGAAATACAGACCTTAATTTACCTCACTTCATATAAACATGTGACTCCAAACCTATATTCATCAATATACCAAGTATTTTGCCACAAAATTTTTCATTTTCTAAGATTAATCTCCCAATAATTTGTAGATTAAAAGTCAATAGCCCCAAAGAAGTGCTAGTTTTTCTGTCATTTCTTCGCTCTAAACTTAAGTATAAAACACAAAGTTGTTTTCTGAGGTCCTCATCATCGCTAAGTGCTATCTTTCATTTGTACCAGCCAAAAACAGAGCACTAACTTCTCGTCCTTATTTCCATGTTAACATTCTAGGAAACAGCACAAACTTCCAAGATAGTGCATGCAGAATATTCTAAGAAATTGGACAGAGGAAAAATTGGATGGAGCTATAGATAAAAATTCCACAAATTTCTTCTACTATGGAGAATGGAGTCATGAAACATGAGGAATGTTCTCACCGATTTTGAGTGGTGCATCTGGGGCTGGAGTTGCATAGAGAAGATTCTCTGGTTTGAGATCACGGTGGACAATGCCATTTTCATGTAGGTACTGCACAGGAATGAGGAAACATCTGTGTAATTCTGTTTCAATATCCATATCTGAGACTTATCATAATCTTACATTTTATTATGTTATTCAAGAACACATACATTATGAACTCAAAATGTTTCAAAGGTCAACCTGTCTTAATCTACACACTTTAACAAATAGCTTATGAGGTAGCTCAGTTGTAGACCATTTTGTCTAGCATGCAGAACAAGCCAAATCAAATAACTAAACCAAACCAAAACAACTGTTTAGCAGACAGCAGAACATAAATGTAATTTAAGGTTATTTTGTTTTTAATTATCAGTTCCCAGGATGAAATATTTGCTCATCAGTGAATATCAGAGCTCTCTTTAGGCACGGTGCCATGCTGGATGGAACTGGCTAGTTACAAATGAGGGGAAAATGGCTTCATGTTATGATAAAACAGTTTTGATATCATAGACATTCTGAGAGGTCTACATTATCAGACTGCACTATGAAAGCATCTGTTATACAGCACCTGAAGACACGCAAAAGAAATTAAAAATGGAATAATCAACATATGTCCTTTTATTTTCAAACTAGACTTTGAAGTATATGTCTAAAGTCATTGAACACTAACCTTGTCACTTAATGATCAGTGTACATGAAGAAGAGTAAAAGAAGAAAGTTTGGAAACAAAATGCCCTCCAAATGGCCAAGGGGAAAATATGCATGGAAAAATGTGACATTATTTAATACTGAATATTATTTAATACAGCTAATAAAGAAATACCTAGTTATAAAAACATTATAATGATATTACTGATTATAAACATGTATTATTTAAATCATGAGAATTTAACATAGATAAAAGAACTGGAGAAAATAGACATACTAACTGGCTATTATAAAATAAGCCAATCATCAATAAACTAAGCAAAAGGAAAGTAAGGAATTAGAATAAAAACTTAAATGACAATTTGAGAAAGAAAACCCAATAATTTAAGAATTTATAAGAGTTATGTTAGACTAATAATTTAGTTGAGTCAAAACTAACAAATCTAGTAGAAGTACCTAAACACTAAAGCTTATCTTGACAAACAGGTACCATTAATAAAGAAACTGGAAGAACAAATAAGGAGGTGTGCTCAACTCAGTGCAAACATTAAGGAGTGAATTGTTTCAGTATTACAGCCTCAGTCTCAATCAAAAACTGACATAAGAAATGAACACTAATATTCATATTCTTTTGAAAATATTTTTAAATGAACAATTTTATAAGAAACACTTAGGGGCTATCTACTCAAGTGTGCCCCAAACCAGCCAGGCCCAAAGAAACATAGGTCCCATGGTTTCCCTTATTTGCAATATCTAGTATATGTCTGGGACAAGCAGAAAAGGTCAGATAAGGTGATGTTAGGGAAATGAACCCTAAGATATGTATTCAAATGTCTTTTTTTCTTTCATGTGATTGTTTCTAACACATTTATAAGATTATTTCTTAGTTGCTTTGTATGTCCCTCCCCCACAGTATAACCCCTGCTCTCACTGTATTTGATATCGGTATAAGTTGTGGAGGGGAAGGGGAAAACCAAATCGTTTAAATAGGGATACAGGTGGACACATTGCAACAATGAGATGTACAAGTCGTTATGTCGAAACAAACTTCACAACTTTGGTGTGGGGAGGAGAGGATTGGGTGGGGAGGCGAGGGGACGATGGAAAGGGATGGGAAGGGGAAACAAAGGAAGAGGCTACAATGCTTGATAAGAAATGTACTCATTATCTTGCCCATGTAATTGTAACCCCTCTGTATTTTCACAATTAAAAAAAAAGTATACTAAAAAAAAAAAAAGAAAGTAAAGAAAAGTACAAGCTGGGTGCCAGTGGATCATGCCTGTAATCCTAGCCATTCAGGGTGCTGAGATCTGAGGATCATGTTCAAAGCCAACCTGGGCAGGAAAGTCTGTGAGACTCTTATCTCCAATTAACTGCCACAAAACTGAAAGTGGCACTTGGATCAAGTGGTAGAGCGTTCGCCTTGAGTTGAAGGTTCAGGAGCAGTGCCCAAGCCCAGAGGTCAAGCACCATGACAAAAAAAGAAAGGAAGAAAGGAAGAAAGGAAGAAGGAAGGAAGGAAGGAAAGAAGGAAGGAAGGAAGGAAGGAAGGAAAGAAAAGTACAAACTAGCCTAAAGCAAAATGGATGCAGATGTAATAGGGTACTTGCCTAGCAAGTAATAAGCCCCTGAGTTTAAACAGTTCTGCCAATCCCCTCTCCCTGCACCCCCCAAAAACCCTCCACCTAAAAATGTATATGGTTCCTAAATTAAGTATGCATTAAAGTAGGATGCACTATTGAAAAGAAAAAAACAGGGAACCCCCATATGTATTTTATCATTTAGGTTTTGTTTTTTGAAAACGTAATCATGACAAGCTCAAATTGTCTTTGAAAGAGACAAAGAAAATATGGCTACTCTGAATTCAGGGGGTGTCTAGACATGTAATTAAACTCTCTGTATGGTCCTAACAAAACCTGTGTCATTGTGTAATAAAAGCTACTACATAGTAATTTAGTTTAATTACAGCTATGCTGTGTTCGATGGGCTGTGTGTGGCTAATTGATCATGTCTCAGGAGTTGGTAGGAGGAAGTTTGAATCTCTAAAAATCCAACAGGATGAAGAAACAGCAGTCATTGCAGAGAGAAAAACAGTGTTCTGGTTACAGTTTTCCTATTGGGAAGAAAAATGAAGCAGCACACATTTGCCTTTTGCTATTGATGAAAATTTATAAACAATATACATGAATTTAAAGAACATAAAAGTGAGTATGCCATTTTATCAGCTTTGAGGACCTGCCATCTGCATTTTCTGTGTCCTTGACCTTGACTTCTATTTTCTACTGGTTTCAAGATCACCTGTAGAATAGATTAAAAAAAAACAAACCAGCTCCAGTGACCTGATGAGGCTCTGTAGAAAGCCTTGATCCACATTGCTTTCCAGCACCAGAGGTATATGGATGTCAGGCAAAGGAGCCAGGTTCTGGGCCTCCAGCATCCTTTCAGCCAGTCAGCCGTCATTCCACTCCCAGTGATTTGTTTTCCTTTTTGTGTGTGTGTGTGTGTGTGTGTGTGTGTGTGTGTGTGTGTGTTTCCTTTGCTACTGCTCTGTGTTCTCTATGGACATGATTACATTTGTCTTTTCATGACCATACACATTTGCATATTTAGATCATCTTCCTAAACTCTACATGAACTTAAGCTATCCTTGATTTAAAAACAGAAATGAGTACCTTTAAGATGTCTACCAACTGAAGTCTAATTTATTTAGTGTGAAAATGAAAGGTCCTTCAATATGCATACTCAATTTGTGACTGTACTCCTCCTAGAGCAATTCTTCCTGTGGACAAGGTACAAGTGGCACTCGAAGTCACGCTGCACACATTCCCACCCGGCTTCCACACAAATTGTCCTTCCTGTGCCAAACTTTAGTTTCAGGAGATTCTGAAAACACTATTTTCTACTTCCACACTCTTCCAGAATTTGCCACTCCTTTTTCACCTCGTGTTGGAGTCTAATTCTCTTTCCCTTGAACCTGTGTGTGTGTGTGTGTGTGTGTGTGTGTGTGTGTTATAACTTGCTAATAATGGACAGAACTGTCAAGGAAGCAAAGTGACTTTCAGGTTAAGATCATAAGTTCATGCAGCTTTTCTACCATGCTTGTTACTTAGTTTGTGTGTAGTGGGAGGGGGGGGTGTCCCTGAACTGCAATGCAAATTCCTTGTCTTAAGGCTGCTGTGAAGCACAATGTAAAAGCCAAATGTGGTTGTGACAGACAACCTGGATAAACAAGCCAAGTGTGGTTTTTCCATGTGACAGTCCTCCTGAGGCCTCACGGCACATTTATACCAGATACATGAGAGGAAACCACTCTAGGTGAGTCCTTCTTCCAGCCATCAAATCCTCTTAGCTCCAGTTCCAGATATCATGGAGTAGAGACAGCCATCATTCCCACTAGGTCCTATCTGAAGTTTTGACCCAAAGAATGGGTTAAGTATGACAAAATGGTTGCTTTAAGCCATAGTGGGTGTGGGAGTTTAATTTGTAAACAGAGCAACAGCAATTAGAAACTGTATAACCCAGATAATACAATAATGCAATCTTCTTCCAATCCCACAGCAAAATGAATCCTCCCCTCTGCCTTCCACAGCATCTCCTTCACATCCCAGGTGCATTATTCTGATGCTACCATAGTTACCTGTGGGCCTGTCAATCAAAACAAAAGACACGTCCTTTGAGAGCAGAGTTTGTCTTATTTACTTTTGACCCTTGGATTTAAACACAAGGACTAGTATGTAGTATGTGTGAAAAGAAGAAAACAAATGACCAAAATTATAGATTGAATTAGACTTTACAGTTAACACCAAGGAAGACAGACTTCATTTGGAATTGTAGCATACTTACACTTAATAAATATGTTTGCTAAACAAAAAAAATGGTGAGATCATCTAAGCTGGGACAGAGGCTCTAGGTCCATTTCAGTTCATAAACTGAATGGCTCTGTGTTTGAGAAGCTTGGGAAACTTGATTCCTTTTATTCTTGGTTTAGGCACTACCAGTATCTGCTTTTGGTCAGCGACACACATTGATCAGCTCTATTTAGCAGTGAACAAATTCACTCTAGCATTGTAGGTCCATCCATTAGTGAGGAGTGATATCTTGTTTTGTTTGTCTGATGAACACAACATTTCCCTGCATTTCTGAAAGCCATTTTCTTTGTGTTTAAGATTCCAGGTCTCTGTATCTTTCTTCCAGTGCCTTGACAATGACATTCTCCCAGCTCTGCAGCATTTCAGATGATAGACTTGCTGCCATTTTATTTCTTTTTTCTATTTCAATTTTTATTCTTTTTTCTTTGTTTTCAGTTAAAAGATGGAATATAATGCTCCTGTATCCTTCTCTTCATGTCACTTATGATGAAATTTGTAAAGATGCTTATCTCTGTTGCTTTGTAAGCTTCATCAAATTTGGAAAATTATGGGAAAATTATTTATTTAAAAATAATTCTATATCTACATAGAATTCTGTATCTCATCAT